CCCGCTCACTGGCAAAAAGCGCCATCAGTATGTGACTCCATCCACATTAATCAGTCAAGTCCTGTCAGGTGTCCATGATGATGCTGGCCATCAGGGTCAAAGCAGAACTCTGTATCTAGCTAGGCAGAGATTTTTCTGGATCAACATGGAGCATGACATCCGTGAGCATGTCAAGTGCTGTAAACGTTGTGTTATCAGTAAGACACTTGAGCCTGAAGGAAGGGCCCCTCTTGAAAGTATTAAAACTACCAGTCCTCTTGAGCTTGTCTGCATAGACTTCTGGTCCACGGAAGATCACAAAGGCAAGAGTGTGGATGTTTTAGTAGTGACTGATCATTTCACCAAGATGGCCCATGCTTTCCAGTGTTCAGATCAGACGGCAAAACAAGTTGCACGTCAGTTGTGGGACAGATATTTTTGTGTCTATGGCTTCCCTCAAAGGATCCATTCAGATCAGGGTGCCAGTTTTGAGAGTGAGTTGATTCAAGAGTTGCTGCAGGTAGCTGGAGTGCAAAAGTCAAGAACAACACCTTATCACCCTATGGGTAATGGTCACACTGAAAGGTTTAACAGAACCTTGGGAAATATGACCAGAGCCTTACCTCCAAGAGAGAAACACAAATGGCCTCAAATGCTGCAGACACTGACTTTTATCTACAACTGTACTGCTCATGAGTCCACTGGCTATGCACCGTTCTTCCTAATGTACGGGCGTGTCCCCAGGTTACCAGTGGATGTCATGTTCCACAATGTTGCAAGGGACAATGATGTAGCAGATTATGACAGTTATGTAAAAAGAATGAGAGATGACCTCAGAGAAGCACTCACACTGGCTCAAACTAACACCGGAATCAGTCAGCAGCGTCAAACAGACCTGTATAACAAAAAGCAGAAAGGTGCTGACATTGAGGAAGGGGATCGTGTTCTTTTGGCAAACAAGGGCGAGCGGGGCCATAGGAAGTTAGCTGATAGATGGGAGTCGACCATCTATACTATGGTCTCCAAGAACCCCACATGCCATACGTATCACATCAGGAATACCAAGAGTGGACAGGAGAAAGTTGTCCATAGGAACTTGCTTTTGCAAGCTAATTTCCTGCCCATTGAATCTGAGGGTGAACCAGAGATGTCTTTTGCCAGTGAATCAGAACTCGGCCAGGAGCAGAGTCAATCTGATGGAGAATCTCCTGTTGCTGATTCTGAGGTTGACTGTACTGAACGCACAGCTCACTGGGTAGCTAAGATGGCAGATGATTGTGTCCCAGCTCTTAGAGGACCCCAAAAGAGTGACAGTATTGGGGACAGTATCTGTGCGCAGTTTGATGATGAGGAGCATCAGGACAGTCACAGTGTTGACAATGAAGTAGCTGCTTACCCTGAAGTAGATGATGACAATGGCAGCAGGGTTTGCGCTACCCCAGTTGAGGAAAGAGCACCACCAAGTACCAGTTATCCTGAAAGTCAGCCAGCCAGTGAAGTTGGCAGCCTCAAGAAACCTGGCAGTGTGCCCCCAAGTAATGCAGTGGGTCAGATCAGGACAAGAGTGGGCCGAATGGTGAAGCCTGTGAATAGGCTGATCCAAAACATGACACAAAGGAACCTACAAACAGGCAATGTGGTCAGCAGCTTTGCCAAGAATCTGTTTCTGTGAGGACTACTTGTTCTATATATTAGGTGATCTTCGTGTTGGACGTCAACATTTATTTTGAGATTGTTTCAAGCTCAGGGTAATATTCATTACATAGTAGCTGTCATTGTATTGTTTGTTCAGGATAGTGTATAAGGCACTTTCTCTTGCGAGTAAACATTAGGGGGTCTGGCCAGCTTTCTTTTGTCTACTCTCCCAATGAGTTGGGAAACACATTTGTTGCATGTATCACCAGTAAATTTGCAGATCACTGACAGTTATGAATTGTTATTTGCGATGCTCAGTTGCTCACCCTTACCTAACGAATTTTGAGAAGTTCAGGGGGGAGTATGTAGCTGAGATATAATATACTGAGTGTGAACATTCTCAAAACTGTATTGTATATAGTTTATTTTTTTTATTGTGTAAATTTAATTTTTGTAAAACTAAGGTTCCACGTGTCACTGTTGAAGTGGGGCATTAATCAGTGTGACGCCACTTGTAAACGTGTTGCATGTGTGGGGTTTCCCAGCCAGAGCGGCATGGATTCCACACTGGTGAGGCACACTTTCTGCAGCTCCTCTCCCTGTACTAAATTATACGTTTAAATTTGGTGTATTTGTCGTTGCTAAGTATTAGTTCTTATGGCTAAAAGCTCCCAAAGTGTTTTTGATTGCTTTGAACGAGGAAAATGGCAATTGGAACTGCGTTTTATCTGTTACACCATCCGTTTATGTGTTGCTTACTTGTGCTACACAGGAATGAGGAGAGGCCTGCTATTGCTGTGTGACACTGATTTTGCTGCTGCACTTTGTCTTTTAGGTATGTGTAAATGTATAGGTTTTGTTTTATGCGTATAATGAGTTCATGACCTGAGGCTGCACACTGAATAGTATTTTCAGCCATGTTGGGAAAAGTTAAAGTTGTTTGAATATGTATTGTGTGTTTGATCCATCTTAGTGGGGATTTAAAAATTACAAGTTATTATTAGTGGCTTCATATTTGTCTCTGTTTTACCCCACTATAACATTTGATTTTAAAGTGGATGTTGTTTTGATAGATTGTATTTTCTTTTATATATTGTAAGCAGAGCGGCATGGATTCCACACTGGAATGAGGAGAGGCCTGCTATTGCTGTGTGACACTGATTTTGCTGCTGCACTTTGTCTTTTAGAAATAAATCCAGTTTCCAGCCAGTCTGTGTCTGTTGTCACAACGCAGTCGACCATTTGAAATCTGCTACATTTGCAGCATCAGATTTGATCAGCCAGTATTTATTTCAACAGTAAAATAAAATGTAAAATAAATAGTAAAATAAAAACAAAACTGAAAATTCAGTGTGCAGACCCATAAAATACATTACCAAGCTAAACGAAAATTTAAAACAGAGCTATAAAACATGTCATAAAGAGCGCCGCAGATTGATTCTGCCCTGTATGAATATATTTTTTGTGCAACATGACAAAAAGCTGTCTGTGTAGCCAGCTAAATGTTTCACTAAATTCTGGTCTTTTCTATTCCGATCTAATTTTGTGACCCTCGTTGATATTAACACATCAACACTGTCCTTTTATAGGAAATTCATAGGTCACATCTTAATTAGCTGATTAATATAAGGCCACATGAACTTTAATTGTAGGGTTCAGTTGTAGATGTAGCACTTGTCATACACAAAAAAAAATACAATATTGAATATACACATACACCCTGAGCACCGTACAGTCATTAGAAATATTTAAGGCTCCATATTTTAAAGCCATGCTGCAGCTTCTGATCACAGCAGGATCAAGACAAGACGTCTTGAAGTAATGCAGACAGACCTTTAGAGAAGAAAAAGCAGTTGCAGAGCAGATGTTGTTTACAGCATTTGTGGTAACAGATGTGGAAAAGCAGTAGTGTTACAGGTTCTCCTTGGAGCTACCAGCATGTGTTTGGACACACAGATGGAGCCATGAAGAGGTTAGTGAGTGTGCCCTTCTCAACAGTGCACCAAGCCATCTGGGAACTGAAAGATACACAGGAATGCCACACATCCTCATCTGGTGTTGGAGTGAATAGATTAATCATGACTGATTGGCGCAAGTTTTAATTAGAAGGGATAGAACACCAAGTTCCTGCAGTTTGGCTTTAGCTACATCCTCCCAGCCCTTATTAGCCAGCGGGTTCCTGGGCGATGGATGCATGATGCCCTCAACACGCACATTGACACCTGCAGCAGACAGGGCCCGCCGTGCCCGTTGCTCTGCCACCTTTCCTACACCAATCACCATGGAAACGTTCAGTGCCTCCACCACCTGGCACAGTGCAATGTCACACAGGCGCAGCAGGGCCTCCCGTTCAGCTGCGGGCAGCTCGGGGGGTGTTAAATTCTTCCCGCTGTCGCTCATGAAGATTAACGGGCACAGGTTGTGCACAAAGCAGTGCTGGAAGAAGACCGCCGGGTCACCGCACAATTTTCTGAAGAAGCCCCAAAAACGAGCGCCGCTCACTTCGCTCTGAGTGCAGGAGAGCCCCGTGATTCGTCTCTTTGGGTGCTCATTTTGTGGGCGGCCGACCTCCCCTGTGATCTTCAGCCAGTCGACAACTGACTTCACCTCACCAAATGGGACCTGCGCAAAGAGAAGCAGATTATTTAAAGCAGCTCTGAGGTCAGAGGGAGCCTGGGAGTCTTCATGATGCAACAGAGGGGTTTTTATCATCTCTCCATTTTGTGGCTCCTCATTTTCTCTGTCCCCGGTCCTCCTTGCAGAGACCCTGCATGCTTTCTCTACATGACGTCTCAATTCCTTAAATACATGTGGAGGAAACAGGATGGAGAGAGATAGGAGCTATAATAGAGGATGAAGAGCTGTATCCTTTACAGATGCCACAGCAGTTTAATATCCTCATCATACAGGAAGATGACTACCAATTGTCAGTTGGTTCAGTTATTTAAGATGATCAGCTCTTCTCATCAAACTTTCTGCCCCCTCACTGTTGTGTGTGCAATAATAAAATGTCAAAGTGGGCAACACTGGGAATTTTAATTAAAAGTAGCGCTAAATAAGGGTTGTGGTAATTACTGTTATAATCATGTAAGATCCTCAAATCCAGCATGAGGCCGTAATAAAACAATGGACTGACAATGCAGCTGTGCTAAACAACACATTTAATTAACATGCTGTAAAATGACAGCGTGTTAATTAATTGAAGGTATGCACAAGAGTATCTCTGAATAGGCTGAAGCTTGAAGCTGCAGAAGACCACACTGGGCACCAGTCCTGTCAAGTCTTCAGTTTGCATTGTTGCTTTAATGACTGCAGTGTACCCATCCTCTGGTGTGATGCTCTCATGTCAATATGGACCAAAATCTCGATTGTTTCCAGCATCTTGTTGAATCTGTGACACAAAGAATTAAAGCAGCTCTGAAGCCAAATTGGGGTCCGACCTGGTACTAGCAATGTGTACCTAATAAAGTGGCTAGCTAGTGTATATTTTGGTGTTAAAACTGTTAATATTGCTACATATTAGTCTTGTTTCATCACTTTGCAAAACAGTTGTTCCATACAAAGCTATTTTCAAGTTCCTGTCCTGTGACACCGTTTAATTAAATCTTAAATCATTCATCCTGGTGTGTGCTGCATTTAATAGGCAGTACCCACCATGTTGCAGGTCTCTGTTGCGACACCCCGCTGAAAACATGATAGGAGCGCCCCTGGCAGGCTGTCTCCTTAGTTTGTTTGCGTTAGCTTCCGCATTCACAGCCCTTTAAAACCTTTTACCACTGCTGTGCTCCTGTTACGGTCATGGCGATTTGGAAACTGTACTATGCCTCAAAATGTGTGCTCACCCCTGTCTGAGCCATTCCGAAAGGTCCGGGATTCATCCCCAAAAACAGGATCTTTTGTCCGGCCTGACAGTACTTCTCCACATAGCAGCGGTGGGTGTCCCAGGCGTACTCCAGCGGGTTGTAGATGTACCGGACAGGGTCGCTGAAGCGGAGGCCACGGAGGTGAGCGTTCAGCTCCAGTTCAGCCTGCAGAAACCTGGCAGAGGGGGTCTCATGAGCAGCATTAAAGCCCCGCTCCTTTGATTCACAGACGGGCACATTGTCCTCTCCGTCTCCACAAGCGACTTCACCGGCTTCACTCGCAGAAGAGTTTTCATTGAACATTTTTTTTTAAATTATTATATATGCTCCCATTTAAAAAAGCAGCAATAACTTTGCGTTTTCAAACCGATAAAGTACTGACCCAGGTTTTTGTTGTTGTTCGGGGTCTTTAAGCGAGACTATTTTCTTCCTCTGCGTCTTTCAGTCACTTGATTCGAGTCGGCTGCTGCCACCTACAGTAACAATGGTGTTATTACAGCCACCAAAAAAGACAAGCAGTTATGACGATGAGAGATTATTATGAGATGAAACTCAAAGAATAAAATCTATAGAAGACTACCACAGCAGTAAACATGGTGGCAGAAGTATAAAAATACTTTGTAAAGTACTTTGTGGCAACATCAAACTTTTTAAACTGCCCCCCCCCCAAAAAAAAGGGTTCAATGTATAAAGCTAATTATTGAGAATGAAGTTAGTTTGAATGCTAGTGCAAAATAAATGCCCAGAAGTGTTTAAAAGATGGCAAAACACACTGGACTGATTAACACAAATACATTTAACTGAACAAGTGTATATATTTATATATATACACACATGCCAACTTCATTAGGCACAACTGTTTCACTGTGCGTTAATGCAAATATATAATCATGCTAGTCAAATGTCAGCAACTCAGTACATTTAGGCATATAGATGTGGTCGAGATGACCTGTTGAAGTGAAGTTGAGAGTGGCATGGTTTTTGGTGCCAGACAGGCTGGTCTGCGGATTCCAGAAACTGCTATTATACTGGGATTTTACCACACCACCATCAGAAGCGTTTACAGAAGACCATCTCTAAATGCAGATGGGATACAACTCCTGTTAGCTAACAACAGGAAACGTAGGGAACAGTTCACACGGGCTCACTAAAACCGGACAACAGAAGACTGAAAACATTGCCTGGACTGATAATTCTCAGTTGCCACTGCAACATTCAGGTGGTAGGAACAGAGGTCAATAACATGCTCTACCTTTTGAACACCAGTTACAATGTGAGCATGAACAAATCACAATAAACTCTTTTTTGTGATTGTCCTGATACTCTTCACTATGGGTTACAACCTTTGTTATAATAAGCTCACATAAACACCAGAGGAAATCATCTCTATATCAAAAGGACAATAAATAAAAATGTATGAAGTAGAAGTTACATTAAAACAAAACAAAACATGGCACCACCTAGATGTTGAATCAAATACAAGTGACATATCATTGAAGTGTTTGTTTTTTTTTTTAAACTTACCTGAGATCAAAAACACACAAAATTTAAAAAAAAAAACAAAACATATTCCTTTACAAATTCTTTTTTTTTTATTATTTCAGCATAATAGTAAGAAGCCTCTCCTCTGATTTTCATACAGTTGAAACTAATTGGATCACAAGGGTACATATTAGTTAGCCCATTTTACATTAATCATTGTAACATTTTTTTAGGAAGTTATTCTTATGCACTCATTTTCCTACACAAAATAATCAATATCAAGATCCTATCTTAACTGAGGACCATAACTCTGCATGCAAGACTAATAAAGAAAACAACTAATCTGTGATAGCTACTGTTATGCTGTTGTTCATCTAATACCATTGTCAATATAATTTACTACAAATACCAGGGACTTTGTATAAGAAAGAAAACATTTTCTTGCAGTACTACTGCCTCTAGTGTCAAAAATCACCGAACATACTGGGCTCTCAACTGTACTGATCCAAATTGTTCTGTCCGCCTTTCGTGTCAAGTTGAGGAGAAATAGGCTTTGTCTAAAACCTAAAATCTAGTACAGATTGAAGGACAAAAATATCCATCTCTTTTTTTGTCTTTTTTTCCTTACACTCCAGTGTTTACAATTTCATCAGAATAAAAAAGGTCCTTGAAACAATCATCAAAAATGTGATGACAAACTCGCAGACAAAAAAAAAAAACAGAAAAACAAAAGCCTCCTTTGATCTGTCTGTAAAAAGAAGAAAATAAAACCTCAATCTTACAACAGGATTCTATTGCATTTAACAATGAGAATACTAAAAACAGTGAATGACAAAAACGTATTAACAAGTGACGTCTACTATATATTGTATTGCCCTTTTGCCGTTTTCAGTATGTGCTCACACCAGAAGTGTCCCTTCCACAGATTGGGAATAGTGTTTCCACAGCAGAGGATTTCATTTCTCAAACTTGGCTCCTCTGCTCTTTAAAAGGCCAAGCCGCTGATAACAGAATCCCATCTTTGTGCACACAGATTTGATAATCAATGGACCATTTAAAGAAAGCTTCTCATTAATACTTTTGGTAAAACATCACTCGACTCAGTCTTCCACTTCTCTGTATCGAACACAAACATCTCTTTATCCTACAATTCAGACCATAGAAAGCGTGGCGGGACTCCCATCTCCACAAGTATCATCTGGACCACTCACTATTTATCCGAATAAGACCGTAGTTACCAACAGATTATTCGCCCCAGTCTGCACTGACATTTCTGGGTTAAACAACAGGACGACGTGATCACAAGTTTACCAGTCACAGAAAGGAGCGTGTTTGAGAAAGTCATTAAAAAGCAGCAAAGCGGGCCCCGTGGGGCCACTCCTTGCTGTACCGAGTACTTTCAAAAGTTCAAAAGGTAAAAGAAATCGCTTATAACGCTATCATTTAGTACTACAATGACTATTTGTGTATCCGCAACTTAAGGCTAAACCCAAAGACGTGACCATTATTCCACACCAACTGTATAGTAATGTCTGGATGAAAAAGCAGTTGTTAGGTGTGCGGCAGAGTCAAGCAGGTGTTGATCCTGCCGCGGCCTGCGACCAGCCAAAGCACCGCCGCGTGGAAAACAACGTAGCACGACTGTCTTCTCACACGGACCGCCACGCGCAAGGGCCTCCTTTTTTTTTAGGATTATATTCTGTGTTACACCATCACCAGTAACTATGACCCAAAATATTCAGTTATCACCATAAACATGACTTCTCAACAGAAGAGCACATTAGTCTGGTTCAGCGCCACTGAATCCATCCACATTCAGTAACCACGACAGCTTAAGGATTAAAAATAATAATAATAATATGATGATGATGATGACGAAAGGCTAGTAAATACATCTGATCCACAATAATAAACGGCCAAGAAAAAGGCAGATGAGAAAAGAAAAGAAAACAACAGAAACATACTAAGGCCACAAGATTTTGTATACGCCCACTAATCTCACAAAGTGATCTGTACAAACATCACTGGACTTCAAAAGTGGCTAACCTGCATCATTATACACCAGGATCTGTGCAGCATGAGCGAACAGAGGAAATGTCCTGCTTTAGTGCTGCAGATCTCTATACATGTTCTGTATATTTACAGCTGAACACCACCACATGCCCTCAGTACACATGAAGGAGGGCTCGCCAAGTCTGCCGTCCTGTTCTGCCTCTTCAAATCAGAGAGAAATGCGTGACGCTCTGTGACCCGACACGCGTTAAGTGCGAACCTCGTCGACTGCAGGTCGCACTTTCGTTTCTTGGAAGTCCTGGTTTTACAGTTATTGATGTTTTATGTCACACAAAGTTACTCGGGTTTTCTCAGGATACAATGGTGACGGTGGCCAAAGACTGCATTTGAGCCAAATTCCAATTTACGTCAACACCTTGTTTTTCTTACAAAATAATCATTAAAACTGGACCTTCCGAGCTGAAAAAGCCAGGAAACACTTTATGTATCACATCAGATTTACACAGTAATAATAATAATAATAATAATGATAATAATGATGCTTTCAATGACCTGTCTTTATGCTTAACACTGTCCGATACAAGGCAAGTAAACTCCGGTCTGTACATGAAATGCCAACATAGTTTCCTCACTTTACCTGGAAGAAAAGTTCAGTTTTAATAACTTTAATAACTTTAACCTGAAATGCTTTTATGATCCTTTCCAGGCCAAAGAGAATAAACAACAAAAAATTAGAAAGAAGCTCAAATACTCTTCTTCACCACCTCATCACACAGTCAACCGTTTCCTGTCCGAGTACCACCAAATGCAAATTTTTTTTTTTTTGAACAATAAACTTTTTTTTTTTTGCAAAAATCAAATAGATTAAGTACAAAACAGGACCACCGTTTATCACAGAAAAGTCTCATCTTAAAAAATGGGAAGAAACAGAAACACAGTAAAAAGTCAACAAAAAAACCCCACAAATGTCCCGCTGTCGTTATTAATCCCAAGACTCGAGCTGCAAGATCAGTCTGTGCTAGAATGTGATGGCACTCTGCACAGAGCTGAGAAGAAACCCTGTGGCTTGTCCCGTCTCTGGAGGTGTTGTGGATCCAGGGAAGATGGAATGTCAGACCGCCAGTCGACCCGGAGGTGGATGCAGGGGGCTCCAGGTTGGTGGTGCCGGTGGGGGTTCTTGGGGATATGGGCGTGGTTCGCAACAGGGCTGATTCTCTACTTTGGCTACGCCGCGCCCCTGGCACAACCGCCGATGTCGCAACAGTCGGTCTGTGCGCGAAAAGTTCTTCAAAAGATAAATATTAGACACGGTCAAATTCAGGTCAATTTCGAGGTCATCATTTTAAAAATATGGTATAATTAAAAATGTCAGAGTAAAATGGAACTATGAAGGAAGGAATTTAAACCATACATGATTACTCTAAACTCAGGCGTGTCAGAGGGCAAACAAAGAGTGGGAAATGCAGAGAAGTCCCTAATAAAGTGACTAACAATGTGGAAAAACAGTTGTTCCCTATATATAGACTTTATCCAGATGCAGTGCCATCAATCCATCCAAGTATTTATATGGCAGCATATTTTAGCATTTCTAGCTTTAGTGCATCGATACTGGCAAAGATCAAATCACTCGTGGAGAACCCCTCTTCTTTTTTTCTAAGAATTCAGTCTGTGCTGATGAGCTAGACCCACTGTGGCTTTCACTGATAATTGTATTTATGTCTGTATTAACGTATATATCTAGTTCCATCTTCACTCAAACCACAACCCACAGCACGTGCTGCTTCAGTTAGCTCGCCACAGAGCAAAACAAGGACTACTGTTGCTAGGTGCAGTCAATGGCGGTGGAGCTGGAGTTATCTGCAGTATGAGAATCGTACCTCTTAAGAAAAATAACTTAACAGCCTGATGTCTAAAGGAACTGAAAAGTCTGGTGGTACTGATACGACCCACTCAAGTCCAAATTTGAAATTCAGCACGTATGACACCTCACGCGTGTACTCCGTGTTTATTCATACATACCTGCTGGCACCGTTCACACTGGTAAGGCTTCTCTCCACTATGGACACGCTTGTGTCTCTCAAGGTGGTAGCGCTGAATAAACCTCATATCACACATGTCACAAGCAAATGGCTTCTCTCCTAAAAGAGCACACAAATACAAAGTCAATGCATCAATTTTAGCGTCTTGTACCAACAAACTGCGGGCAGATTTTTACTTACTAAATCTTTCTTTGCAGACTAAATTTCCAACACTTAAAAAAACAAAAACAATTTAAAAAAAAAAAAAAGAAAAACATCAGGAAAAAAAACCAAAAAACAACTCCCTTATTAGTAAATTTCAACAGTGAATTTTCAGCATCTGATAACTGATGTTCTAAAAAGGCCTCGTCATCAACTCATTATGTGTAGATCAAAGTGGAATTTCATGTTTTTGTGGCCCGGATGTACACATGATGGAGGGCCCACAAATTGGGGCAACTTTTTTTTTTCTCTCTCTTTTTTTTTGGAGACTGGTTCAACATCCCATCAAATGACTTGACAATCCAAACTCGAGTTTGTTGTGACCCAGTTATGTTGAAAGCGCCAGTGCCTTTCTCCGTAATAAGGGTACGGTAGAGGAACGCATACCCGTATGAGTGAGGCTGTGTCTCTCCAGGTGGTTACGCTGAATAAACCTCATGTCACACATGGAACAAGCATACGGCTTCACCCCTACACACACAGAGCAATATATTAGCCCTACCACTCACAAGTCCAACAAACACAACTTTCAACCTAACTATGCACTCTGTACTTTATTTTTCAAACATAACGCCAAAATGTTTAGACACTAAAACTACACAGCTCCGACCACTGGATAAACTAATAGACTTCAGTTAGATTTTAACATAATACAGGAGATACACATTTTGAAACAATATCACCAAAGCCTGTCCTGTGTGCTGTATAAGATTAAAGTCATTGTGCATCAATAATAAATAGAAATCATAGTATTTATTCCCTTTGAGGTTTACAAATTTGATGTTGGACCCATATCCCCTCTTTACTAATATTATATATATATATTTAACTAAGTTACTCATGTTTAGCTGAGGTTTTTGTCAATATGTCGTGTAACAAATACTTTAATAGATTACTGATTAAATTATTACAATCATAAATGTAAAAATAAAATGAGGGTAGTTAAGGTAGAACTGGTAACTGGGGTTGTTTAATGTTTAACCTAGTTGTTTTACACTGGTTTGTCAGTGACAATTGGATTTTGTAACATTGAGTTATTATTAAAAAAAATAAATAAATAAAAAAAGGGGGGAAAAAAAAAAAAGTGGTTTTGACTTATTTTGTGGTTTAGGTTATGGGTGAGAGCTAATGCACCCATTACTGGGACACAGAAGTATCAGAATTGCCATTTCATACCTCTGATTAAAAAGAATCAAAAGACTTTAAGGACAAATTACTAAAATGTACACAAAATGTGTTTCGTGTTCTAAACATTTGATTCTTGGCAATCTCAGGTATTGGATTTGGAACGGCGTTTGAAATGATTATGACCAAACCCTACCTATAAGGAGATTCTTTCAAAAAGCTTTAAGCCTTCTCAACAACAAACCCAGAGTAACACCTGGTAGAACTTTAAATGTATGCGATCTGGACACATTATCTGTCTAATGAAATCTGATCCATAGACTTTTGGATTAACATTTTAGATGAATTGCATTTTCAACAGATAAACTAAATGATCAGTACTGCTCTTAATCGGGAAAATGTGATTAAGTGCTGATTCCAGGGTCTGTTTAAATCTCCTGGTATTAATACCAACCCAGCTACTGAGTATGTGTGTGTTTCTGTTTTCATAAATGTTGATGCTCTAAAGTTGAAATATCAGATTTTACTCGTTGACGCAAGTTCTATGGGTAGTGAACAAAAAAGTACAGATACAAATGATGGGAATAAGCCTCCAACATACGTCAGGGCTCAGCCTTAGACAAAGAGTCAGCCATTTGGGAGCTGCTCAGAGCAGAGTCCTTATCTCAACCAAGAGAAGCCAGCTGAGGTGATTCAGGGCCTCCAGGACACTGTAGGCCAAGAGTTTCAGACTTGTCCATCCATGAGGAGACCCAGGGGAAGACTGAAGACACACTGGGAAGATTAGATGTCTTGGCAGCCTTGGAAACCCCTCAGGGTCCTTTGGCATCCAATTATAATACACAGGGCTTTCTTGATCTAGATAATGTATCCAGATACACATCACAACCAGGTTTAAATGGGGTGAGGGTGTTGGTCAGATATTCTGCAGTTCATATATTAGATTAACCAAACACACTACAAAAAAAAAAAAAAAAAA